AGGCTCTTAAAAAACATGGGGTGTGGGTAGTCTTTCTTTCTTGTGCGGATGAAGCACGTAAGTTATGCATAACATTCTTTCTTATCTCATAAGAGATTCTTTCTTTCTTGAAAATTCTTTCGCCTATCGAAAGGATAAAAGTATGAGAGACTTTTTTTCGGGATAGTAGTTTTCTTGGGTAACGTTGAGCTGCTTTTACTTTTTCATCTATCTCCTTCTCTGCCTCTACTTTCTCGTTCTAGTCTCTTATACGTGCTCATGGGCTGCAAATTGGTTGTCTAGAACAGAAACAGAAGAGGGAATTGCACATGCAATTGTGCGAGGACAAATAGATTTTGAAAGGGATCCATGGCCAAGAATTTCTGAAGATGCCAAGGATCTGGTTAAGAGAATGCTGGAGCCAAATCCTTACAACCGCTTCACAGTTGAAGAAGTCTTAGGTACAAACTTAATTATAATTAAATTATTATTTTCCTCTGATTATATCATTTAATTATTTATATTTGTTGAGCTATATATTATTTTTCTTTTATAATGTGAAGAAAATCAATGGATTCAAAATGCCGATAAGGTCTCGAACGTTCCACTGGGAGAAGGTGTAAGAACGAGAATCAAGCAATTCTCGTTGATGAACAAATTCAAGAAAAGGGTTCTTCGAGTAAGTTAATTATGTTTACGTTGTTCAAAACATGAATAACATGTTTGATACGCAATAGTGTACCGATAATATTAAATTAAATTATAATTTTTTTTCCTTGAATAAATAGGTGGTGGCAGACAACTTGCCAGATGATGAAGTTGATGGAATTAAAAAAATGTTCCAAATGATGGACACAGACAAAAATGGTAACCTTAGTTTCCAAGAGCTCAAAGATGGTCTAAATATGATTGGACATCAAATTCCTGATCCTGATGTACAAATGCTACTTGATGCAGTCAGTAATCTTAACCTTTTTTTAAACATTTTCGTTTTATACCCAATAAATTTAAAGAAAAGAATTTAGTTAAATTCAAATTTTAATCTAAATCAAAGTCAACAATCAATTTTAATAACATATTTAAAGGATCGCAACTTTTCAACCACACATTTCATCATGTTTTATCAAAATTTACGAGGGTGTGATGAAAAAAATTAGATTTTTAGTAGATTGTGATAGAAGTTTTTGAAATGTGTGTTTGAAAAGTAGTGGGACCCACGAAATATGTGGTTAATATTGATTGTTTGACTTTAACTTGGATTAAAACCAGATTTTAATCTGGACCAAACATGAGCTAAGAATCTGATTTTAATCCCTACCAAATGAATCTATTCCTCTTATAGCAAAAATGAATCACCGTGTGTGTGTGTTTTTTTTTTGGGTAGATGTAAGAATCTTCCTATTTCATTGGAGTTGCACAATATACAACAAAAGACCAATCTTACTAAATTGACTATGTAAATTGTTTTTCGTCACAATTCGTTCAGTTGATTGCACCATTAATTTTGTCTAATATATCGTATTTGATTGTTATCAATATTTATTGTTTGTTTATGGTGTCAACAAAGGCTGATGTTGACGGAAACGGCATGCTCAACTGTGAAGAGTTTGTGACGCTCGCCGTTCACCTGAAAAGGATGAGTAGTGAAGATCATCTTCATCAAGCTTTTCTCTACTTTGACAAGAACGGGAGTGGATTTATCGAGTTCGAGGAGTTGAGAGAGTCTTTGCTAGATGAACACCTTGGTGCAACCAATGACCAGCTCGTACAAGACATCATATTTGATGCCGATTTGGATAAGGTAATTTTGAGTCTTTCATAGCAGTCTGTTGTCTCTCGTTACAAGGGTGTGTTTGATTTCATTTATTTTTCATGGAAAATGTCAGTTTTCCACCCAAATTCCTATTTTAAAGTATTTGATTTCTATTTTTTTCTATGAAAAATATTTTCCAACTTTTAAAAAGATGTCTAATTTTTCTTTTTTTTAAGGAAAACATTTTCTTCGGAGGAAGTATGTTCTTGTTTTCCTCAAAACAAGGAAAATATTTTCTTTTCTAGAATATATTTTCCATGTCAATCAAACACACTCTAAATATTTCACAAGTTATTTTTTTCTTCGCTTCGATTTTGAATTTTGGTTTCTCGTAT